AATTTGTTAGGGAGCCATTTGTGGTTATATGGAATTCATTAATTTTTCATCATCAATTTTAAGAACTTGGTCATCTGTGATTATTTTGTAATCCTCTTAAGTTAGTTATATGGTTTGTAATTACTGCATAAAACTGCATAAAAAACTTTCTCAACTATATGAGCTTCATGTTCCGATTATTGTAAAGTTATTCATTCTTACTTCTTTGGGTAAGCTGAAGATATTCCAACCAATTTAAGGGGTGTGTGTGTTTGTACAGCTTGTGGGGAAAATATGCCTTTCTGAGATTATTGTCTTTGCCAAAAGAAGAGACCATTCTGCCCTCTTTGGTATACATCATACATTTATTAGTGAATATCCCTCTCAAAATCAGCCACAACATTAAAAAAAATAATGATTGCACTACTTGGTCAAGCAGAACTAGCAACTTTCATTTTAAAAAAAGTACAAATCTGTTAAAAATTTCAATCAGTATAATACACATATATAATACAACATACTAGTTATGTTAAATGCTACAAACCAATATGATTCCAATGGAATGGAATAAAACAAAACACTTTAGAGATTTAAGATATTTTTTTTCTTCTCTATATATTAGCCTTTTTTTTCCAAATACATACATGGGAAAAATGAGGTAACTGTAAATGTGCAAGTAACAGAGCAAAAAAATTATATATATATATATATATATATTTATTTATAATATATATAATATATATATAAACTTCCTAACACAGAACAAATGCCCTGGTGCCCTACAGGGAGGGCCCCTCTCCTTGTAGGGTGAAGCTGAGCTATCCTTCTGGAGGGCACGGGACTGGTATAAAAGAACAGTAAACAGCCCACTATCCCACCACAGGAAATCATTGGTAAACAGTGGCATCTACAGCGCAATCAGCAATCACAAACATCCTAAATAAATGTTTTAGTAATATTTTTTTGTTTTTTTTTTCATGATAACTTTTAGCTGCTCCTTGGAATAAATTCTGCAGCACACGAGCTGTGAGCTTTCGAGTCACCGTCAGAAGAACCGTAAGGCTTTCCTTCCCTCCCGACCCCCAAATAACCTTTCTGAAAAGATGGCGGGGGAAGGAGAAGAGACACTGAAAACAGATGTGGGCATCGGCACTATTCTGATTGGCTATAAATATAGAAACACCTCCCGTGTGTGTTTGTTCTTAAACTTTATATATATATATATATATATA